CTCCTTTTTCCTATAGGATGTGTATGGCTACTACATATTAAATCTACAGTATGTGTTTATCACCTTGACACCTTGACACCTTACACAGGAGGTGCAACCTCAGATAAGGACAAACTCAGATAAGGACACTATAAAAAAAGAAAATTTTAGGCCAATATCTCTGATGAATATAGATGCAAAAATTCTCAAGAAAACAATAGCAAACTAAATTCAGTAACATATTTAAAACACCATACACCAGATCAAATGGGATTTATCCCTGGGATGTAAAGATGTTTAAACATGCACAAATCACTAAGCATGATATACCTCAACAGAATGAAGGATAAAAATTATATTGATCATCTTATAAGTACAGAAAAATCATTTGGCAAAATACAACATCCTTTCATGATAAAGACAGTCAACAAATTAGGTATAGAGAGAATGGCCTCAGACAATAAAGGCCATGTATGACAAGCCTACAGCTAACATCATACTCAGTGGTGAAAACTTGAAAGCTTTTCCCTCAAGATCAGGAACAAGACAAGGATGCCCAGTCTAGCCATTTCTATTCAACATTAGCACTAGAAGTCCTAGCCATAGTAACTGGGCATGAAAAAGAATAAAAGACATTCAGATCAGAAAGAAAGAAGTAAAATTGTCTCTTTGCAGATGACATCATCTTATGTGTAGAAAATCATGAAGAGTCCACCAAAAAACTGTCAGAAGTAACAAATAAATGAAGTAACATTGCAAGATACAAAATTTGGTTGTGTGTCTACCAACAATGCATTATCAGAAAAGAAATTGAGAAAATAATTCCATTTACAATAGCATCAGAAAAAATAAAATGCTTAAAAATAAACTTAACCAAGGAAGTAAATATTCTGTACACAAAAAAATCATAAAAAGTTGATAAAAAAAACCTTCAACATGACATAAAGAAATGGAAAGATATCCTATATTCATGAATTGGAAGAAATGATACTGTTAAAATGTCAGTACGAACCAAAACTATCTACATTTCCATTGCAATCCCTATCAAAATTCCAATGGCATTTTTTTCTCAGGAATAGAAAAAATAATCCTAAAATACATATGGAACCATGAAAGACTCTACAATCTCGAGCAAGAAGAACAAAGCTGGAGGCGTTATACTGTCTGATTTCAAAACATACTACAGAGCTACAGCAACCAAAACAGCATGATACTGGCACAAAAAAAGACAAGTAACCAATCAAACAGGATAGAGCGCTCAGAAACAAATCCACACATTTACTGCCAACTGATCTTTAACCAGAAGGAAAAGGATAATCTCTTTAACAAAAGCTGTTGAAAAAACTGGATACCCACAAAGAGAAGAATAAAACTGGACTCCTATTTCATGCCAGGTACAAAAATGAACTCAAAATGGGTTGAAGATTTAGATATAAAACCTAAAATTGTAAAATGACCAGAACAAGACATGGGGAAAAAACTTCTTGACATTTGTCTGGGCAATGATATTTTAGATATGACCTCCAAAGCACAGAAGACAAAAATAAAAACAAACGAGATTTTATCAAATTGAAAAGCTTCTGTGCACCAAAGGAAACAACCAAGAGAATGAAAAGACAGCATACCGAATGGGAGAAAATATTTGCAGATGATGTATCTGATAAAGGGTCAATATCAAAGATATATAAGGAATGCAAAAACTCAACACCCAGAAAACCAATAAAAATGGGCAAAGGGTCTAGCCAGTGGCTCAAACCTGTAATCCTAAGACTTTGGAATGCTGAGGCGGGTTGATCAACTGAGGACAGAAGTTCGAGACCAGCCTGACCAACATGGTGAAACCCCATCTCTACTAAAAATACAAAAATTAGCGTGGTGGCGAGCACCTGTAATCCCAGCTGCTTCAGGGGCTGAGGCAGGAGAATTGCTTGAACCCAAGAGGTGGAGATTGCAGTGAGCAGAGCTTGTGCCACTGCGCTCCAGCCTGGGCGACAGGGAGAGACCCTGTCTCAAAAAAANAAAAAAAAAAAAAAAAAGAAGAAAAAAGGGCAAAGGATCTGAACAGACATTTCTTCAAAGAAGACATAGAAATGACCATCAAGGATATGAAAAGTTGCTCAGTATCACTAATCATCAGGGAAATATAAATTAAAATCACAGTGAGACACCACCTCACACCTTTTGGAATGACTAGTATAGAAAAGGCAAGCAATAACAAATGCTGGCAAGGATATGGGAGTGAAAAGTGAATCCTTGTGCACTGTTGGTGGGAATGTAAGTCGGTGCAAGGAAATGAAATTGGCATCTCAAAGTGACATCTGCACACCCACGTTCATGGCGACATTATTCATATTGGTCGGGATGTGGAAACAACCTAAGTGTCTGTTGATGGATGAATAGATCAATGAAATGTAATATATTAATATAAGTACAATTTAATCATATTCTGCCTTATCAAAGAAAGAAATCCTGTCATTTGTGACAACATGGATGGACCTGGAGGACATTGTGTTAAGTGAAACAGGTCATACACAGAAAGACAAATACTGCATGATCTCACTTATATGTAAAATCTAAAAAACCCAAACTCTTAGAAACAGAGAATAGAACAGTGGTTACCAGAAGCTAGAGGATGGGGTGGGAGGATGAGGAAAAAGGATGCAGGCTCTACTTCCCAGCAATCTTTCGTGCATGTCCCAGACCTGCCACCAAAGGGCTCCCCAATATTGTGCTGTCCCTACAGAGCATAAGGTGAGTACAACATTCTATTTTATCTGTACTCTGCAGTATCCATGCACAGAACTTGAAGAAGACAGACACTAAGATCATTAGGTCATTCCCAGGTAGACCCGTCCAAGGATGCCTGGTAAAAGTTTACCCGTGACTGTCTGACAAAGCTCTATCTAGAGTGTTTTTCAATTTTGGTGCAGTAGATAATTCTGCTTTGGCTGTTGTCAAGCTAACAACATACAGAGTTGGGGAGTTGGAAAGAGATGTGCAGAAGCTCATCATTACAGTTGTAGTACAAGAGACATCACTCCAAAGCATAGGTATTAGTTGACATAATTAGCAACAGTTGAGTTTTGAGTATTTACTGACAATGTTTAAATCAATTATGTAATTGTAAGTTTATGTAATTTAGTTTTTAATAATGGCTGTATTTAGCAACTGGCTCTCGAAATTCCTGAAAATTTGCTGGTAGACTCTTGCAAGCATGTCTGAGCTAGCCCTGGCATACATTGGACCTGCCACCCAGCCCAAGTTTATTGACCTCGTTACTCAGAGGGACTCTGCTTTATTTTAAAAGTATGTTTATGGCTTCTTGTCTGTCATCTCCTGCTAGACTATAAGCTCTGTAAGGGCAGGGATTCTGACTGGCTTGCTCACAGCGCTTCCTCCAGCACCCACAACAATGCCTGGTGCATAGCAGGTGCCCCATAAATAGACAAATGCCTGGCACATAGTAGGTGCTCAATAGCTGTGGATGAGTGAAAGTGAGAAAATTAGATTCCTAACACAACGGTTTCATGTAAATTAGAAACGACACACCAGAACACCGCCTTGTATTCCAGGATGCAGAGTATTCAAAGCTATCTGTGTCGGTGCCTGTGAGGAGGGAGGGGAGCAGACCCAGAGGTGAAGAGTGGAAATAAATTAATAAAATGAGAGAAGGGCTTTGCCTGGACAGGACCCGAAGCCTGTGATTAACTCAACTCTCTTCACCTGAGATCTGATTAGGAAAAAGAGGACATCTTCATTTGCACAGAGGCAGTTAGTCCCCTGCCCTGGACCACAGGGGCTGCAGGGAGGAGGCTGGGAGAAGGCAGTCGGGCTCAAGGTCACTCTGTGGGGATGAGGTGTTTCTGTCTAGAAACCTGATACAGTGGGGTGGATGGGGGACGCCCAAGGAAAAACATGCAAAGAGGGAGGCAGCCTCTTGTCAGCACACAGCTCCCGGCTGGGCATGGTGGGGCCACTGCATACACGTTTCTTGAAGTAAGTAAATGAATAGATGAGGCTGGGTGTGGCGGCTCACACCGGCAATCCCAGCACTTTGGGAAAACAAGGGAGGCAGCTTGCTTGAGGCCAGGTGTTTTTGGACCAGCTTGAGCAACACAGGGAGAACCCCCCGCCCCCGGCTTCACAACAAATTTAAAAATTATCGGGGCATGATGACGTGCACCTGTGGTCCCAGGTAACCCGGAGGCTAAGAGGATCGCTGGATCCCAGGAGGTCCAGGCTGCAGTGAGCCATGATTGCATCACTGCCCTCCAGCTGGAGAGACTAAGCAAGACCTTGTCTCAAAAAATAAAAAATAGGCTGGGCACGCGTGGCTCACGCCTGTAATCCCAGCACTTTGGGAGGCTGAAGCAGGTGGATCACCTGAGGTCAGGAGCTCGAGACCAGCCTGGCCAGCATGGCTAAACTCCATCTCTACTAAAAATACAAAAATTAGCCAGGTGTGGTGGCGGGCGCCTGTAATCCCAGCTACTGGGGATTCTCTGAAGCAGGAGAATCGCTTGAACCCAGGAGGCAGAGGTTGAAGTGAGCTGAGATCACACCATTGCACTCCAGCCTGGGTGACAAGTGCGAAACTCCATCTCGAAAAATAATAATACTAGAAAATAAATAAATGGATGAATGAATACAATTTATGATCATTCCATTTTCATTGTCATGATTTATTTGGTTTTTAGAGACACTAAGCGTATTAAAATTTGTCTTCTCTGGAATACAATGCCAGTTTAAGGTGTCTGAGGTCCTGCTCTGGGAAAGGGAGTAAAGATCAGGATGCTGAGGACTGGAGGTCCTGGGTGTGAGGGAGGAGGGGCTGGGGCCTGGACTCCTGGGTGTGAGAGAGGAGGGGCTGGGGCCTGGACTCCTGGGTGTGAGGGAGGAGGGGCTGGGGCCTGGACTCCTGGGTCTGAGGGAGGAGGGGCTGGGGCCTGGACTCCTGGGTCTGAGGGAGG